TTGCAACTCGTAAGAAAGATGCGCTATTTATATTGGCCCCTGTGCGTTCTGGAACATTCCGTCCAATGACGTGCCAGCCGTTGAGGGCTTTCTAGTATTTTCCTGCCCCGGGCGTGCTGGTCGCTGATTGGCCACCGCGTGCGCGATAGCCCCCCCCCCCCGCGGAAACGTCTGGAGTGTTCGGCCAGCCGCACACGTGAGCAAGGCCACCACGCGTGCTCGGCGCTGCAGTGCACGCCGCCGGCTTGGTCCCCTGTTCAGCGCCTTAGGCCGTGGCTCTACACCGCTTGCACTCTCCATAACAGTTATGATGGCGATACGCAGAACGTTTTTCAAAGTGAATGAAGATATCTTGGGTAAGGTATACGGTGCACCTGTGCGGACATACTTGGAATACGCAGTACAATCTTCGCGGCGGTAGCTTTCTCGAAGGTGTACAACGACGCGCTACAAAGGTTGTTCCTGAACTCAAAAATTAGACATACAAATAGCGTCAGACCGCCTTAAACCTTTTACTCCTCCACCATAGACAAGACAGAGGGGACCTTATACTAGTGCTTTAGCTGTTACTGGGGCTTGAATTTAAAGTGCACTGGGAAATTTTTTTCAAAATGGTACCGAAGACGGATCTTCAACATCATGATTGTCAACTTAGAAGGGGGCTGCGCTTCACCCACCAACGTTCCTTCTTTTTCTCGCAGGAAGTAATTCGACAGTGGAATTCCTTAAAGGCGTGTGTCATGCATTTTACCAATGTGAACGTCTGAATGCCAGACCTCCCCAAACACGCCTGACAAGTCGGTTATAAGAACACACTACTATCTGGATTTCAGTAACCCACTTTGTTTGCATTAAGTTTACCACCGCTGACTTCATTGTGCGCAAATGCTATTTCGATGCTGCTTAGCAAATTCACCAGCTTTTCAACAGTCCTGTTTTGCTATCAGTATTATGCTTTTCGCACGCTGAAAGTTTCCGAAATTATTTGCAACTTAACTGATCTTCATGCGGACTTGTATTTTTTAAATGGAGTTTTCAAGGCCTTCTGTCATTTACTCAAAATACGCTGATTTGATTTGAGATGGGTGGGCAAGGAGGTCTCAAATCGGGGGCCAGTGAGACATGGTCAGTGGGGCAATCTTTACTGAGACAAGGAGGCGTGCAAAAGGAAGCTGAAAAAGTCGTCACAGCAACTGTTCTAGTTAGTCGCGTGGCAGGCGTTGATGTTATCGGTCCCGAAACGAGATGCGTGTGTGCGCCGAGCTCTGTTTGCCTGCAACCAATCAGCAAATGACACAACGTCCATTGGATCTTGCCATGCCGGGGTCGTCACGTGCGGTACAAGCAGGCAATTCGAAATGGGGAATCGGTTGCTGAGGTCACGCAAGGGCAGGGTTAGGCGGGCTTTCGCGCCATCTACCACACTCTCATCTCCCTCACCGACCCAGCTACGATGGCAAGGCAATGTAAAAACTACCGGAGGTGAGCGCGGGCGCATTGGTTGGCAAGGCTAAGTAGCCCGTCTACGCGTGCCACATACAGCCCGATCCACTTTACGCGATGTCGTAAGGGCGGATTGGACTTCACGTGTGTGTGTGTGTGAATGGCGTAAAAGTCAGAGAGGAAGGAGCAATTACGGTCATTGTGGTCCCCAGAAGGTCCGAGTTATCCCGCCGGACAGAGCATTTGGCGTGCCGATGAACGGGACATCCTAAATGGATTGAAAATAAGGAAAAGGCACGGAGGGTGCGCCTAGTGCTAGTTGCCTTACAACAGACCGCCGTCCTTATTTTCCCGTCTGCCATGATTGTAACTTGTATGTCAGGGTGCTGATAGTAGACTGCTACCTTCGCATTCACAAATACCGACGAATAACAGAACAGCCCTCGTCAACTTGCCAGTCGACGTTGACCGCGCCCGAGCGGCAATCCTCGGCAGTGGACGGCGCCATCATAAGTTACGTGACAACCAACTGCCTGAGAAATTTGGAAGAATAAGTCCGTCAAAGCAGTCCTTCTGTGATGGGGTCGCGGTTCACAACTTGTCCCCCCCCCATTGTTCCACCCAGCAACGACAAACTGTTGTATGATAGGACGCGAAGTTCAGCACAAGAGATGCTCGATCAGAAGACTTTATTGCCCCCTTCGAATGGGCGCTCCCGAAGTGTGAGGCAGGAGAGGAGTGCAAAAAGGCCATGAGGCAGCAAGTGTCTACCTTACTCCTCCAACACAAACGCCATACGACGATTTCTAAGGCATAAGATGGAGAACTTCTGAAAATACGAAAAAGGCAGGATATGGTCACCCTACCTGCCGAAAGGAGGCACTCAATGGTCGTCAAGGATAAGGCCGAGTAATGCGTGTCGTCAAATGCTCGTGAACATAAATAAGACGACTGGCAAGCTGAGGAAAGCGAGAGCTCCAACGAGAAGAGAAGCGTTAACCAAAAACGTCACTGATGCCGCGATGGCGCGCCTCTACGGCCTGCCAAAGGTTCAAAAGCCAGGAGTGCTCCTATGCCCCACCGCACTTCAGACTTTGGACTGCCTAAGTGGCTGTATCAGCGACCTTGCTATCTTACCAAGGATTCGGAGTGAACATTGAAGTCAGCTTAGGAGTTTTTGACATGCATCCAACATCCCGAAGTAGAGGCAGACGAAGTAATGGCGTCGTTTGACGTGATCTCATTACTCACTTCCCTCCCACCCGCGCTGGCTATCGAAACTACTGACGGCTTTCTCAGAGAAAAATACAATCAGCTCGAACAACAGTTCAAACGAGGACATATCATCCAGCTCCTAGAACTGTGCCTGAAGACCTTTTTCACATTCAACGGCCAGGTCTACGAACAAAGGAGGGACGTGCCGATGGATTCGCCTGTCTGGATTGTCAAGCAGCTGATTTTAAGCCCGTACCACCTGACTACACGTTCGTCGATGTGTAGGCCTTCAAGGCACTGTTGATTTCAATTTTTCCCGATATCCAGTTTACCATGGATGAAGAAGTCAACAATCAGTTGTCCTTCCTTGACGTACAAGTTATAAAAGTGTCAGACAGGCAGATAAGGTCAACGGTCTGCCGTAAGGCAACTAACAGTAGGCATATCTTCCACTTCCGAAGCAACCACCCTGTTGGTCAAAAACTCAGTTGTGGCAGAACCCTCTTCCAACGCCTCCAAGCACACTGTACAGACGATAGGGGGAAGGAGAGGAAAAAGTGCTTACACGCCCTACCTGACGCCATCGGGTATCCAAAGTCCTTCGTACGCAGATGCCTCAGGAAGCCTAATTTTGAGCGGTTTAATGGGGAAAAACCGAAGCTCTGGCTTGCAACCCTCTGTGTGAACAACGTCTCAAGGGCGACGGCAAGAATCCTGAAACGTTTCGGGATTGGCGTAGCTCATAAACCGAGATCAACAATCGGACGGCAAATCATGGGACCCAAAGGCCCGCTACTAGTAATAGAAAAATCAGCAGTGGTCTACAGCAGACCATGCCAAAATTGAGATATAAAGTATGTTGGTGAGACGGGCAAACTCCTCGACACAGGACCGCACGAACAACAATATGAAATCAGCCTCAAGGATAAGCTCTCTCTCTCTCTGGTCTACAGCCATAAACCACAGGTGGACCACGATCTAGCCTTTGATAAATGGAGGGGACAATCAGCCGGGTCAATAAGGGGACGGTATGACTGGTGCTGGAAAGTTGATCCTAGATCAACCGAGCGATAGGCCTGCATCCCGCCTACTAGGCACTACGTGCAAAGTTCGAACCAGTTCGAGCAGGAACCGAGAGCCGACGCTCACGTAATAGGGGAGGGGGTGGCCGAAGGTCATTTGACAAACATCGGACACTGCTCCACCGACTCGCACATCAAGCTGCAAGCAACTCACGAGAACTGACCAGTTCGCTAACTGACGTGAGGAGACTGATAGGCACGCTGACTCGGCTACAACTACGCCGGCTCACAATGGGGTAGGTGTCGCGCGAGCCCACCAGCGTCAACCTTATAGGGATCAAAACTGGTCGGCAGCAAACGGGCAGGTCAAAGTTCGTGCGTCAAGCACGGCTATAATACAAGGAGGAAGCCAATGGACCGGTGGGCGCCCATTCCCGAGTGAATAGATATGCGTAGGCAGAATAACATTACCGACAAAGGGGAAGGGAATGGCCATTTCTGGCTTATTAGCCCTCATCAGCCAGTCATACCCAAAACCGAGGTGTGGAACACCTGGGGCTCGACCCCGCGACCTGCTGGCGAGAATTCAAAGCCCCTAACCACCGAGCCACGGGCTCGTTGTCCTGTCGGTTGCGGTCGGGAATATACAATGGTAGAGGGACGCTTACAGATCGTGTTGCCGAACTCGCCCGACCCGTTGTGCCTTTGGGCTCTCTCTCAAGCCCAGTCAGCATCCGAACAGTAAGAACAAAAGTAAGAACTGCTTCGGGTTTGTTCGCCTTGATTCAGCCAATCATAACCCCGACCACCGGCTGGGACCCAAAACACCAACATGCGCACATACACCTAGCGCAGATGTTCTACCAGATGGGCCACACGCACTACATCGAAATGAGATTCATCAGTGACTCGCCACCTGTCATCCTCTGTTGCACTATATACATATATAGGCGACATATATATACAGGCAGACCAACACCACAGACAAAGACAAGGCGTCCGAATCGAACTCGGGGGCAGGGCAGCCTGAGTCCATGCGACAGAAGAATCTTTTCCGGCTGCGCAAACCTCTTGCTTCGTATAGACCACTATAACAACAGTTCTAACCACGCATTTGTCTTGTGTGGGCATTCTGGAAAACACTGTTCTGAGGCTCAGAGTCACAGAATGTAAAAACGGCAGGAGTTGAACTGCATGAAGATTTCTAAAGCCTGAATTAGATAACACCCAACACATGCGCCATCACTTTTCGTATGACAAAAGACGACAGTTGAGATGTAAACCGCTGTACATGGATTTGCAACAAAGTAGGATACAGGACTATGGCATATCCGCCAAAGAGTCAATAATTCCGGGCAGAGATGACAATTTAACTGCCATGAGGACATAAATTATAGTCTCTGGATCATCGCCGTCTGATGCATTAGTAATCTTAGTCTCCAGGGACGCGTCCGCCGCCTGACGAACAATCTCCATTTCCGGTTGAATGTAGACCAACGTGCCGAGATTTTCGGGCTTGAGAGCGCGGGTCAAAATTAGCAGGTCTGATGGTCTCTCCTCCTCCTTAAGATTTTGAATCTCTGCGGGGAGGGCATCGACGGCCTTGGCCGAAATGGAGGGTGGCAAGTTGACGAATCTTTCGTTTAACAACAGCGCGCACCCTTTAGATGCCTTGTCCTCCAAAAGGGCCTTGATGGTGTTTACCTCAGAGGAAGTGCTTTCTGACTTACTAACCAAATCCAGTAAAAACCTTTTGAGATCAGCTAGGACGGGGCATCTGGCAATTGAGGGCTTAGTCAGGCTCAAGACCGTAGTAAGTGAAAAGACGATATCTTCGTCCTCGTCATCAGCAGCATCAGCGTCAGTCTCTGTGACTTCGGAAGAGTTCTTGACGACAGTTCCCACATTCTCCAGCGAGAGGATATAGTCGGCAATACCTCCTAAATGCAGCCCTGAGTTCTTCGGAAAGAGTTGGTTAAGCAACTGAATGATGCCATCTCTATCCTCGGGTTGTGGAGAAAATCCCTCCAACTCAAGCTGAACAGTTTCCGGCTCAGCACTCTCATCAACTTTTGCCTGTTTGTTGGGCATCTGAAAGCGCACCTTAAGGAATGAGTGAGAAAAACGTGGTTAACGAAAAGATGATTGAAGCAAACGTATATCCGTAAAACAGGCAATGAAAACTACGTAAGGTACAATAACCCAGGAACAACTGGTTTGTATGAGCGTTAGAATTCAGCCGCGAACGGAGACTATCAAATTCGGCTGCTGCATTATTCCAGGGCAACGGTTATCTGACTGTGCTTTGCCTATTTCGACAGTATTTTCCGGAGAATAGGTGCTACTTACCACAATATAGTAGGACCCTCAGTTTATTCATTTATACACAGCTGGTCAAGCGTCGACTACAAGATGACGTCAAAATAAACTTGAAAAGGCCACAGGAACTATTGGAACGAAGTGGCGACATTATTGAGTAGGTCCGAAGGTCAGTGACAACGCATCAGTCAAAGTAGTCTTGGATTCCGCGACTTGGATCACGACTCTTACAAAGTAATCGACTGAGGAGCTCTGGCGTGAGCACTTTGAGTACAACCCAAAATGTTATGGCTGGCCTATAACCACCTTTCTTTTTCTCTCCGGGAATGAAATTTCGCCCTCCGCCCTATGTTGTGTCGCATGGCTCTCCATCCCATGACAAAATCACGACCGCAATCCCGAGACTGTGAATTAAGAACGCCAAAGTCTGCAAGTCCTGTGTCAACACCGGTACCCTGAATCCGTGCTGCGTAGAGGGATGAAATCGTACTTGGTGACCTGCAATCCTTGCGCCTGTCTTCAAGGGGTGATACAATACAGCGTGTTAGGGTTATGGCGACATAAGTCTCGTTGACACCATAACAACGGTTTATAAAAGGGTCATTTTAAGGCGGCTCTGAAGTGTGCGAGGTTTGAGAACGAGACCCTGTCAAGTGGGGTTCAAGCTAAATGTATGTGCTTGAATAAAATACCCACACTAGTACATTTGCGAATCCTGCCACGAATCCCAGTAAGTGGCGGTCGCCCAAGTATTTGGCTTCGTTGTAGCGTTAGATTCAGTTCTTTGGTGGTCCCTGTGGTAGATAATGAAGTGTGCTATCGAGAGTCGGCGCTAGGATCAAGGCCTTCAATCGGTCCACCACTGCACGAGTTCCGGTATATGACGAGATTTACCAACTGTTCGATGCTACATCCTGCGTCTACGACGTCCAACAAGGCCAATGACCGGTCTTGGTGGTGCAGAATATGCGCAAGGACATCGGCTAACTGATCCCGACTACCCTGTCGATAGCCACTTCTGGAAAACCAAACTTATGCATTGAAGATGCAAGTCAAGTGCTGCAGAAACCGGTTGTAGTTGTCATGCTGTCGAAGCTCGCCTAGAGGCCAGCGGAACCGTAAAGAGGAGAGCAAACCCACCAACCAGTTCAACATCGGCTACTCACTCATTAAGAAAGTACTCGCACATACTGAAGGGACTTACAACAATGCCTAGATTCAACTGGGCACAAGAAAAGTATGACTGTGAATTTTTGATAGAATTTGTTATCGTTGGTGAGGCATTAGGATACAAGCTTCAGTAGTTGCAGGATGAATTTGTCCTGCTGCAAGACGAAAAAGCCCAGAGAACTGCAACCAGCTGAATTTAATATTTGATAAAATGACCGCCGGGAGCGGAGAGAAATCACAACTTTTGAACTATCGCGGCATGGTAAAAGGTCGGTTAATATATTCATGAATTGGTCTGTTAGTGTGTTCTCGTCGAAGTCTTGATCCAGGAAAGCTCTTGAAGTTATCGAAAAGATACTTTTGTGATTCTAGGGGGCCCTGTTCTCTATAGTCAGGGACAATGGCCGTCGGGAGATGCGTCCCTTATGCCCATTCAGATGTCGAAATAAGAAGTGGTAAAATGAAAGATGTCGCGTATTGACAACGTATTTGACATGGATAGGCCAGATCATAATTGATGGTGTTTGACCTTCAGCGGTTTTAACAAATGGGCTGTCTCGAAGGGACTAAGCTTTGTCCGACACGTAACAGGAGACTTTGAACACCCGGGTGTTCTAATGCACGGGATTCAATCGTTATAAAAGTAATTCTTGCATAATATTGTAGCATTCACGACGTCAAAATCCTCAGGCAATAGTTCTTCGAAAATTCGCGCAATCTTTTCAGGAAAAATAAATGGCTGGGAAGCTAAAACCCTTGGAGGCCAGTTATTTGGACCAGGCATCGTTGCAACCGCCATTCACAATCTAAGCCAAGTTGGCAATTCCGACCACATAGGCTAACATTTCAGAATAGTGGGTGGGCACGACCTTAGTAAGTCAAGATGGAGTGAAAACGAAGACTCAGACCAAACTAAAATTCGGTACCCTGGTGGGTGAATGCGCAACCAGAGAACCAGGTATGCCGATCTAGAGTCGACCTAACAAGGACGTGTGGTAGTTGATGGATTGTTTTCTTAATTCACCAAAATGAGTCTTGTGAATAAGATTTATGTCAATGCATCTCCCCTCTAGAAAAGGAGCCTACACATACATATTTGTATCCTGTAACTGTAAAACGCTCCTTTAGATTTTGAGAACTCGTCATGTCAGTAACTGGGCACAGGCAATCTTCGTAGACCCAAACGACCAAGATAAAAACCTGTCGAATATATAGGCATCAGTACGTGACGGACTTTGATCATGAAATAGATTAGAGACATAAAGAGCTCGCAGTTCATCACTTGGAAAGTGGGAGGCATAAACTGCAAACGACAATAGGAAAGATCACAAGTATTTCAGGCGCAAAGGGCTAGCTCGGTCACATGTTAGTCTTGCGATTGGTTGAATCTTTTCAGAAGTCTTAGCAGACACTGTCCGCACGGTAATTCCTTGGTGTGACTGACTGCAGAAAATTTGCACGCCCTCTCGAACAAGTTGGTGGGGGGGGGGGACCGATAAGTTCAGTAAGCACTCAGTCAGTGCCCTGATCTCGAGGGCATTTTACACACGCACGCACATAAGCATCGATTGCCCGCGCAGCGCCAGATCGACGGCTAGCCCCCCTGCACGCCAGTTTCGTCCCACATCTCGTCCCATGGAGTTTGCGTTTGCAGGCATGTATTGAGTACGCTGTAGGTGGCTAAAGACAAGTGCCCTGTCAAGCCACTCGCGTCAGGAAGTGTCGATTATGCATGCTCACTCCAGCTGAAGGGTGGTACCCTAAGTGAGACAGTGAAGTGTCCTGGAGGTGGGCGTCAGACCTAACGCGCACAATGCATGGGGGTAAGCGTCAGGGAGGGGGTGTGGCAGTAAGGATCATTTTCTCGCAAAGGCTAAACACCCTCAGTCAATAAGCCTACTAGCCCTACAATAGCCCCCAAATCAAAGCGGCTAGCTGATGTCTAGCCCTACCACGGGTCTCGGTACTAAAACAACACCCTTCTCGACATCCGAATGTTCTTAAAATTTCCAACAAACTGACATATTGTAAATAAAAGTATAAAGTGATCAACAAATAGACAAAAAAATAAAGATTAGCAATTGTTATCCTTAAAGACAGTCAATCATGATTGACTTGAGATCAACATGCGCACTAGATATCTTTACCGCGTCAATTTCGACACACTCAAATGCAACGTGAATTATGCTGCTGAAGTTAATTAAATCAGGTTTTGTTCCTTACCCAGTAACTAGCATAACTCAGGGCAAGTTCAGCAACCATTTTCGCGGACTCGTACCTCTATCCATGACAAAGTGGCGCATGGAAGAGGCATGTGGTGGAATGTTAGTCGATGGGGGAATTAGTAGACACTTTCCGGAAGCCAGAAGACTGTTAAACGTGCTACAGTTTTTAGTAAATTTTACGCATATATGTGCGTCCCAATCAAAAGCTGTGTGGCTCAACCAAAAGCCCAAATGAGAATATGTAATCACGGGATAAACGAAGACGACTTGGTCACCAATCAGACAAAATCGCGAAATAAAGGAAAAAATATTTGGAAAAAAGGTACTGAATAGTGTGGAGTAGATGATAGTATAATAACGTGAAGTGGAGGCGACAAGTGTGTTCGAAAATGGACTGACTGAAATAAAACTAAATCTGAGTATTATCGAAAAGTTGAATCACAATTTCTCAAACGGATGTCGAGAGTTTCAACGTTGCGAATGACGATGCCCACTGTGCCTCATTTAGAAGACGCAGGATGGGATTTGCGCATGATCAGTTTTAAGTGTGGCGAGCCCGTGCAACAATCTACCGCACTCTGTCCTCCTTCGCCCACCTGACAAGGTAAAATCCATACGACCGGAGGCGGGATGTGACATAGTGATTGACAGAGTTAAATAGCCCGTCTATGAGTACTACACATGACCCGGCTCCTACATGTTTCGGGCCCGGATATGGTATCAGAAGTGTCCCATAATGCTCACGTAGGAAGGGAGTATTGCAGTCCGTCAGTTATGTGAAGAAATGAGGCCCTTCGTCAGTTGACAACCTACTGAAACGCGACTCTCAGTGTGCCATGATATATTTTGGCGCGCCGACCATCTTATACCTACGAATGCGCCGATGAATCTTGCTGATCGATTCCCTAATTGCCGCCTTTTGCCCTCTTCCCGCAGGGGCTGATAGAACAAGACTGTCCATTTACGTGCACCAGGACACTTTAAAGGGCATTCAATCCGCTTGCGTGCATGTCCGTGTTCTTGCGCGTCAAGCCGACCATAAGGGCGACGGCAAAACCGTTCATATTCTTGCTGCTGGAAGAGGGTATTTTTGTTACGGGATGTTGCGCACGGGATGGACGAGATCCATACATTGGCCTCTCCCAAACACCAGTACTATATTGACGGGACGAGGTTAGAAACTGTGGAAAGACACAGAGATCTGGGTGTATGGACGACCACAAATCTATCGCCATCAGAACACTGTAGAAAGATGGTCCAAAAGGCAACTAGTACTCTACACTGGATCAGACGTGCATTTAAAATATTTCCTCCCGAACGTTTCGAAAGACTCTTTGGCGTCTTTGTAAGACCTCATCTAGAGTATGGAATGCCAGC